GGCTGGAATCGGCGATGAGAGCGCGCCTCTTGGCACAGAGAAAAGACGTTTGCATTCATGTCCGTAGTATGGTCGTATTTCTCACAGTTCGGAGGCCAAGATCCACTCGTCTCTTTCTCGAATGCAGGTGTCTACGTCTGTATTCTTTGTGCCTAGAAGCTCTTTCTCGTCCACAGAGGGATCATTGGCACGCTGCTATCATCCGCACCTCTGACGTACAAGGGCGTGGATGCTGCGAGATGGCAAGCATGCCTGCGTCGACAATGGCGTTCTGGTTGACGACTTCGACACCATTACGCAGCACTCGTAGGGCCACACTATTCGTATAGCGCAGCTCCAACCCTATGCCTCGTTCTAGCTTTTCGTCCTCACTCTTCCACTCGGCTGCTGCGCCTTGCAGGCTCAGCACCATCTCGTCTCCAACCGTGATATCAGCCATGGCTAGGGACAGGGCGCTGGCATTGGTGAAGCGCGCTTTCACTTGCCCATTTGCACGGCGGAGTCTCAGGCTGGGCTCCGCAAGAATCACAGCCATCTCACGTCGTGAGGATGAGTATGGCCATTTCACCATGACAATCGCTCTGATGTGCCCTGATTGAATGCCCGGAACGAGTTTCGCAATCGATATATGATCCATTTGTCGCAGGTTTCGGAGATGTATACCAGTGATGGAGAGATACCGTCGGGTCTGAGCGATTACAGAAACCTTTCCCATATGGTGTATACCGCGCATATCGCTCATGCTGCTTATGATGATTGCGACTGGTCTAGTCAGGCGCAGGGATGACGGCATCCGCGTATGAAGCTGATGATACGACGAGTGTATTCATCTCTCCAGGCGATGTCGAGCAGTATGCCTCGGTCAATGCTCCGTACGCACGTGTCAATGCTCCATCTCAGCATGTCCTACGCCAGTTGCTACGACGCACGTTGGTACCAGCTCGGACATTGGCGGATGGCACAAGTAGGTCAACGAGTCTACAGCACGCACAGCCATTAGTTCGCGCGCAGGAAATCTCCTTCGTCGATCCGTTCGAAGGAAACTCCTTCGTTTGTACCATACAAATCAGTGCGACCGTAGGGCCCTTTGATAATGGAGAACGCAGCGGGCGACCATCTGTCTCCGGGGAGCTTGCGCAATGTCGAAAAGTCGCCATGCACCTTTTGAGCCTCGGCTCGAGAACGTAGCCAGCGAAGAAGAACTTCACGTTGAGACGGCCTTGTGTGACGAC